CAGCCTGGATCCTAACAGGCCGTGAACTGCTACCAGCCCACAGCTCAGGGATTGGAACCTCTGCTTTACCGGCTTCAAATTATAACATGCAGCTACTGTTCTGCTCTGTCACTGAGGAAGGCTGGTCCTGGCTAAGCATGTGCTGAGGTCAAAGCTGAATCAAAGCTAAATTCGATTATAGATCATCTTCCTGAAAAGAGTGCTCTCTCTTCCATGCCTGCAATGTGTATAACATGCGGGACTTGGATGAATCTGGAAAACATCATTCTCAGCAAACTGACACAAGAACAGAAAACCAAATACTGCATGTTCTCACTCATATGCGGGTGTTGAACAACGAGAACACATGGACTCAGGGAGAGGAACATCACACACTAGGGGCAGTTTGGTGGGGGTTAGGGGAGGGACAGCAGGGGATGGGGAGGGTAGTGAGTGATAAAATGGGGAGAAACGCCAGATATAGTCAAAGGGGGAACAGAGGCAGCAAACCACCTGTTAATGTATGCACCTATGCAACAACCCTGCATGATCCGCACATGTACCCCAGAACCTAAATTTTTTAAAAAAGAAAAAGAAAACAATAGTGAGGATCAAAAAAAAAATGGGAGTTAGACTAACACAGAGAACTAGGCTTTTCTTAGCTTGTAGGTCCAGTTAAAGAAAAAAAAAAAAAACACTGGCTTTTAAAATAAGGAAGAAAGTAGGAGTGTGCAAATTAAATAAAGATAAGTTGTTAAAGGTTAACCGGTTTCTCCTGGTGGTGTTATAAGCAAATGGCATAGTCATTCTCTGATTCTACAATATTTAGATGTTTTATTTCAGTCACACAGTGGGAGCTGAGAACAAATGTGGGTAAACCAGATACAAAATACCTTCACAGAACATAAGCTAAAACCTTTTCCCTTAATCCTTCAGTGTTGAATCATATGTTATGTCTGGACCATAAACGTGAAAAACGCCAAAGCAGCTCCAGTGTCATCGTGGTTTGGTACACACACACATCAAAAAGCATAATCATCCTTAAAATATATTACCAGGATTACTATTGCATATTTGTGATTGCTGAATTATAAATGATCAAATTTTAGGGGCTTAAGATATCTCTTTATTATTTCCCTGTTTTTAATGAATAGAAGTCTTGGCACAGTATAACTGGGTTCTCTGCTTAGAGCCTCACCAGGCTGAAATCAAGGTTTTGACTAGACTGCATTCTCATACGGAGCTCACGGTCCTCTTCTGAGAGTATTCAGGTTGTTGGAAGAATTTACTTCCCTGCAATTGTAGTACTGAAGTCCCTATTTTCTCATGGGTTATTAGTGGCGTTTGCTCTCAGGTCTTACAGGTTACTCTCAAGACCCAACCACATGGCTTTCTCCAAACCAGGTAGCTCACATCTCCAAAGCCAGTAAAGATTCTTTCTTCTTCCAGTCTGCTATGATGGAGTCTTAGATAAAACAATGTAATCACAAAAGTAACTACATCCTCACTCTCATATGGTGATATATAACAGAATGTAAGTAAACGAGTGACTATCCCACCAAATTCATAGATCACACCCACAATTAAGAGGATGTGGAAGTAAAACCTGGGAGGCCACCTTAGAATTCTGCCTACAACTCACTCAGAACAAGGACCAAACTCTGAAATATGTGATGGAGGAGACAGCAAAATGTTACTCACCTCCAGAACCTACAAGTTAAATGTAAAGAGTCTCAAGACCAAGAATAGTGCCTTCTAAGAGAGATAAAAAGAACTATATATCCAGGAGCTATAAGATGATGTGGCAGCAGTTCATTCTCCAGAGATAGAATTATACTCAATACTCAAATTGTAATACTGACATTTTCTGGAGTAGGAATAGAATAACCAGATGACCCCAAATATCAATTCTGGAATAGAAGCCTTGTATATTCACTTCTGTTTGAATGTGTGTGGATCTGTAAATATCATGGGACATTCTCTCTTTTGGTTGGGGTACGTTATATATTGAAGTGATGGGATAGTCACTCCCATGATTACACTCTGTCATTTAAGACTCTGTCTTATCCACTCAGAAACCCAATTACAAAGACGGTGATTATAAAGACTACAGATGGATGAATCTACAACGAAGGGAAGAAAACGGTCAAAAAAGGCTGAGAATACCCAAGATCAGAACGCCTCTTCCTCAGCAGGGGATCCCAGTTCCTCATCAGCAACGAAACAAGGCTTGATGGAGAACGAGTGGGTTCCAATTACAGAAGCAGGCTTCAAAACGTGGATAATAAGAAACTTCAGTGAATTAAAAGAACTTGTTATAACACAATCTAAAGAAACTAAGAACTTTGAAAAAAGGTTTGACGAAATGTCAACAAGAATACAAAATTTAGAGAGGAAAATAAGTGAATTGATGGAGCTGAAAAACACAATACGAGAACTACGTGAAGTATGCACAAGTTTTAACAGCCGAATTGATCAAGCAGAAGAAAGGATATCAGAGGTCGAAGATCAACTCAATGAAATAAAACAAGAAGACAAGACGAGAGAAAAAAGGATAAAAAGGAACGAGCAAAGTCTCCAAGAAATATGGGACTATGTGAAAAGACCTAATCTACGCTTGATAGGTGTACCTGAATGTGACGAAGAGAATGAATCCAAGCTGGAAAATACGCTTCAGGACATTATTCAGGAAAATTTTCCCAGCCTAGTAAGGCAGGATAATATTCAACTCCAGGTAATACAGAGAACACCACAGAGATATTCCTTAAGAAGAGCAACTCCAAGGCACATAATCGTCAGATTCACCAGGGTTGAAATGAAGGAGAAAATACTAAGGGCAGCCAGAGAGAAAGGTCAGGTTACCCACAAAGGGAAGCCTATCAGACTTACAGCAGATCTCTCAGCAGAAACCCTACAAGCCAGAAGAGAGTGGGGGCCAATATTCAACATCCTTAAAGAAAAGAACTTTCAACCCAGAATTTCACATCCAGCCAAGCTAAGCTTCACATGCGAAGGAAAAATAAAGTTTTTTGTGAATAAGCAAGCACTCAGAGATTTCATCACCACCAGGCCTGCTTTGCAAGAGCTTCTGAAAGAACCACTACACATATGAAAGGAACAAACAGTATCAGCCTTTCTAAAAAAAATTATCAAAAAGAGCATCAATATAATGAAGAATTTATATCAACTAATGGACAAAATAGCCAGCTAATGACAGTATTAAACTCACATATATTATTATTAATTCCAAATTTAAATTGACTAAATCCCCCAATCCAAAGATAGGCAATTTGAATAAAAAACTAAAACCCATCAGTATGCTGCATCCAGATCCATCTCACATTCAAGGATACACAAAGACTCTAAACAAGGGATGGAGAAAGATTTACCAACCAAACAGAGAGCTAAAATAAATAAATAAAAAACAGAAGTTACAATTAAGCAACAAAGATCAAAAGAAGCAAAGAAGGACATTACATAATGATAAAAGGATCAATGCAACAACAAGAAGAGCTAAAGATCCTAAATATATACGCACCCAATACAGGAATACCTAGACATACAGGACTTATAAAGAGACTTAGACTCCCACATAATAATAGTGGGACACTTCAACATTAATATTAGACAGATCAATGAGACAGAAAATTAACAACGATATTCAGGTCTTGAACTCAGATCTGGAACAAGTAAATGTAATTAACATTTATAGAACTCTCCACTTTAAATATACAAAATATACACTCTCATCAGTACCACATCATATCAATTTAGAGGTTTAAATGAAATCTTGGTTGGCTCCTTGTTTGTTATTCTCTTCCCTCATTTTCTTTCATGTCTCCATTATTGAGGACAATTGTAGGCATACCCATATTTAGACTGCATTCTAGCCTGGGCAATAAAGCAATAACCCCATCCTCTCTCCCTCTTCCTCTTTCTCTTTCTTCCTCAAAAAAAAAAAAAAAAAAAAAAAAAAAAAAAAAAAAAAAAGACTCTGTCTTAGCAGGCTAGGGAGATTCTCCTGGTAGCCTTTAAAAAAGGAATCAGCCATGTTGTGAGAGGGTGGCATAGTCAGGCCTTGAGACAAACTTTAGGAACTAAGAGTGATCCTAGGCTGACATCCAGTCAGAAAATAAGGGCCTCAGGCCTACAATTGCAAGGAACTGAATTCTTCCAACAATCCTAAAGAGCTTTGAAAAGGACCCTGAGCCTCTGAGAAGATCACATCCAAGTGACACCTTTATTTTTTGAAACTACAAATTTTCACATCTAATATTTTATTATTAAATTTATAAAGACATCGATTTGGTCATGATTGTTTATAGAGGTAGAAAATGCAAATAACAACAAGGGGACTTACATTTTTTGAAGATGATCTCTGCATCTTTTATTATTATTATAGAGACAAGGTCTCACTACGTTGTCCAGGTTGGTTTTGAACACCTGAGCTCAAGTGATATTCCTACCTCAGCCTCACAAATTACTGAGATTATAAGCATGAGCCACCATAAGAAGCCAACATCTTGATTTTAGAGTGGTGAGGTCCTGAGCATAGGATGCAGATAATCCAGGACTACAAACCTAACCAATGGAAACTGTATGATAATGAATTTGTGCTGCTTTAAGCTGCTCACTGTATGGTAACGTTTATGTAGCATTTAAAACATAAACAAATTGATAAATAAAATAAACTGACAAAATTAGTTTTAGAAACTTTCTGTAACAGCATCTTTCAATAACTAAATCTCCACTGGTCTTACCAGATAGCTACAATATTTTCAGGGTTTTAAAATGTATTGAAAAATAATACATACCTAAGAATATTTTAGGTATATTTTAGTGGTGTTCCAGAGCATTGTAGATGACAAACTGAAACTAAAACTCCTTAAAGGATGAAAAAATGCCAAGTCAATGGTTATTCAACCATATAACCTTAACAAGAATAAAAGAAAATCTTCATAATGAATAATGGTATATATGATGTATATACATATATATGCATAGAAATAAAGGGCACTTACTCTGAAAGTTGTTCACTGGTAAGACTCCAGGGTGATAGAATCCTGCTTTGCAAATGCACTCATAGGCTCCAAGAACGAATCCTAGGCCTTTAATTGGCATACACTATGAAGAAGAAAAGACAGCAACATAGTTGATCATGGCTTATCTCATGATATAAAGGCTCGCAGATATCCATCATTGCAAATGGTAACAGAAAACTAACACGTTTTCCAGAAATAAAATATCTCTTTTTTGAACTTTTTAGTTTTGTTTCGCCAACAAATTTTTTTAGAAGTAGTAAATTAAGTTTCCTTTCTAAATATATGCCATTACAGCTGCAATTGCCATACATCTTTAACTCAATCTGTTGACACAGGAAGTAATTACTAGACATAGTTTTTCCTTTAAATGCCACACATATCATCTTAACTGCTTTAAGAAATCGTTCCAAAGCCTATAAGAATATTTCAAAAGTGATTCCACACTAAATGTTTCTATCACAGCAAAGATAGGTAGGTTGACAGGTAGGCAGACAGGTAGGTAAACAGATATATAAAATTTAAGATGTGAAAATTGCTATTATGAATTAAATAGTCATCAAATTTTATCCTGGAATCAATCAAAATAACACAAATTGATAAAATCATAAAACAAGTAAATTTAAAAATGCAAATTTAGAAGACAAAAATAAAGGTGTATCAATTATCCCAGGGCTGTTTACCTAAATATCTGTTTAATAGCTAAGTGTTTAACATATACATATGAAGAAGAAAAACAGCTTTCAAAATATGTCACAATAAGTAACAATAGACCTGTTCCAAAAATTTAATTTTGACTTTTTTCAAGGATCTAACCTAGCAAGCAAAAGATACAACTTTAATTAAGGAAACTAGCTTAACATACTTCATTTTTGTTACATTTAATTATATAGCAAGGAATAACTTATTCTAAACTACGAAAACTACATCAGTAAAACTGGACTATTTCAATAATCTAACCAACACTGAAATTTATTTTACAATATTGCTCTACCATGATTCCAACCCACTGTCACTATAAATATATTACAGGAATTTAGAGTCTAGTGAATTAAAAAATTATAAGATAGTCCCTCTTTTCACAGGCCCCTGAGATAAAATTTTAAAGAATTTAAATAATTCCATAATCTAAGCTTAAATGACTAGCATTAAGATCAATATTACATATCACAAAAACTCCAGCAATTAGAGAAGCATGTAAGATTAAAAAAAAAAAAAAAGCTAACACAGGTTCTAAAGTCAGAGACGTAGCAAGGCATCTCTGAAAAAGAGCTTTCTAAAGGACCTTCTTGAATATTTTTATTTCATTAAAATCATCTTCGTTTCCATCCAACACACACATATCCAATTATATGTTGCAACTAAAATCACATTTCCTAACCCAGAACAAAATAAAACAGCAAAGGAATACCAGTCAACTCAACTGAGTTCGCAAGTATTTATGAAATAACCGCAGAATACCTAGAGAATTCCTACAGAACCTAATCAAAATAACATGTACTGTTTATGAAGCTCCAATTACAGAATAGGTCAAATCATATTTCTAAACTATGTTAAAAAATTCTAACATTTATTTAGCAGAAACATTAGTATTATGTAATGAGTATATTAGTTGTGATCAATCAGAAAAGGTAGATTTGAAATCTGACTTTATCACTTCCCAACCATGGAGATTTGGGCTGTTCTCTTAACCTCTCTGAGCCTATTATCTTTAATTAATAAGAATAACTATTCCACCAGATGCAGACATAGCCTGAAAAAGGTAGAGTAGCCATGATGGCCTAATGTGTTAAATACAGGGTATAAGAGGAAGAGAAAAATCAAGGATGACTCCAGGGTTTTTGGCCTGAGCAAACTTAAGTAGGAGTTGACATTCAACTGATCTGAGAAAGGCTGTAGATTTAGGGAAAAGATCAGTAGTTTGGTTTTGGAAAGGTTCGATGTGAAGTGATTATTCAAAATTTAGATCTAGATTTCAAATAGGCAGTTTGATAAACTTGTATGGAGTTTAGAAGAGATGTCTTGGCTGTATAATTTGTGAATCATTTGCATAAAGATTGTAGATAAATCCATGAGATAAGACTAAATCAAGCAGTGCCTGCAGGCAGTGAAGAAAATAGATCCATAAATATGAGAGTAATCTGGCTGCAACATCTGTCACCTCATTAATGGCCAGGATTGATTCACCTAATCTGGATGACTTGGCAGGTGTCTTTTCCAGCCTCACTACTCCATGTGTGTCCTTTCGGAAGCTACTTGCTAGGTTGAAGAAGATGACCTTCCCAAACAGAGAACCATTCTTCACTGAAGGGTACACAAGCAGCTATGTTCCCCTGCTAGAACCTCTAAATATGCTGTCAAGGATATAGGTCCAAGTGGTAAGACTTCAGAAGTAAAAGGCAGAAAGAAATAATCAAAGGATCCTATGAAGAGCAATTCAGTGGAGTATCATTACTTCCTTTATGACACTGCAATACTAATAAATATAGCATGTAAAGTTTGTTGTAAGTTACATTTATTAAATATTAACCCAGCAATGATTTGTAAAGCAAACTAAGGTAAATCTGGTAAAGTAAGTCTTAGATACTAAGACTACATTAGAATTGTTGAAATATTTTACCTTGCTGAAATTCAGAGGTTAATGCTATTCATTAGAACATAGAGCATCACTGATTTCATGACAGTATGACTCAGCACTGCAAGAGTGACTCAGTTGAGAATTTTAAATTCTAGGGAACATCTGAAAGTTTATTGGAATAAAAGCATCTCTTTGCTATAAAGTAACTCTACAGCCAACAGAATAAAATGAAGGATTAAAAAATTGAATTGATTAGATTTGATGCATATTGCCAAATAAATATTCCTTGAACTTGAAAAAAAAAGCCTCCTAATTGTATTACAGAAAACACAGAAACATGAATTATTAGCTACCTCAAACTTGTTGTTCTATTAATAAATAATGTTATGATCTCAAAGAAAATAAAACTGTCAATTATAATCAATAAAAGCATATCATTTGTGCTGTACTTACTCCACCTCCAAGACAGCAGGGCCTGCACGGAACCAAATGTGCTACTGCTTTCATACTTTTGCCTTGAAGTATAAAAGTGGCCTTAGCTTATTTTTTTTTTTTTTATGAAGGATTGTAAATTTTCAAAAAACTCACAAGGCATATTTTCTTGTTCTACCCACCACCATGATTCCCTTGCTACTTCATCCCTGTTACCTCCAAAACAAAATTATGCATTTTTAAGATTAGGAAATTGGTTTACTTTAACCTAGTTTAAAAAAAAAGGCACCCTGTAAATACAGTGACACTCAACTGATGTTTACCCCATTTGGACTGAAGGGCTGCTTTTTTAAGCTGCACTTCTTTCTCCTCCATGAGGGTAGCTATTCCATGAGTAGCTTTTGATAAAAATTGATAAAAATAAAAAAATTAAGAGTTATTGTTATGGGAGACTTGGGGCATTGTTTTGCCACCCAGAAACCTCTACAGCCAGTGGCGCCTATTCCTGAGTTTTGCTCTGGCCTGCTAGTCACGTTATGCCCTCTTGGTCTGGAAGGCTGTCCTTGGATTCTGCTACCAGCCTGGATCCCATGCCTGCCAAGGGCAAGTCAGGTGCGGAGCAATGAAGGGTGTGTGAGTAAGCATGGGGTCCAGACACTGTGCACAGCAAAGCACACCAGCTGCAGAAGAAAGGGCAGCTCTAGGCACTGGCAAGGGCACCTGCTCTCTGCAAGGCTGCAGCTGGACCAGGTGTACCATAAGCAGCTTTGATGGCTATACTAGTCCATTCTCATGCTGTTATAAGAACATACCTGAGACTGGGTAATTTATAAAGGAAAGAGTCTTAATTGACTCACATTTCCACATGGCTGGGGAGACCTTACGATAATGGTAGAAGGCAAAGAGGAGTAAAGGCATGTCTCACAAATGGCAGGCAGGAGAGTGTGTGCAAGGGAACTGCCCTTTATAAAACTATCAGATCTCATGAGACTTATTCACTCTCAATTCACTCTCAAGATAACAGCATGGGAAAAACTCACTCCCATGATTCAATTACTTCTTTCCAGGTCCCTCCCATGACATATGGGAATTATAGTAGCTACAATTCAAGTTGAGATTTGGGTGGGGACACAGCCAAACCATATCATTCTACCCCCAGCCCCTCCCAAACCTCATGTCCTCACATTTCAAAACCAATCATGCCTTCTCAACTGTTCCCCAAAGTCTTAACTCATTTCAGCATTAACTTAACCCATTTCAGCAGTCAACAGTCCAAAGTCTAATCTAGGACAAGGCAAGTCCCCACCACCTATAAACCTCTAAGATCAAAAACAAGTCAGTTACTTCCTGGATACAATGAGGGTACAGGCATTGGGTAAATACACTCATTCCAAATGAGAGAAGTTGTCCAAGACAAAGGGGCAACAGGCCCCAGGAAAGTCTTAAATCCAGCAGAGTAGTCAAATCTTAAAGCTCTAAAATGATCTCCTTTGACTCCATGTCTCACATCTATGTCACAATGATGCAAGAGGCTGGTTCCCATGATATTGGGCAGCTCTGCTCCTGTGGCTTTTCAGGGTACAATCCCCTGCCTGGCTGCTTTCATGAGCTAGTGCTAAGTGTCTGTGGCTTTTCCAGGCACACAGTGCTAGCTATTGGTGGATCTATCCTTCTAGGATCTGGAAGATGGTGGCCCTCTTTTACAGCTCCACTAGGCAGTATCCCACTGGGGACTCTATGTCAGGGCTTCCACCATATATTTTCTTTCTGCACTGCGCTATTAGAGGTTCTTCATGAGGGCCCCGCTCCTGCAGCATACCTCTGCCTGGACATCCAGGTGTTTCTATGCTTCCACTGAAATATAGGCAGAGGTTCCCAAACCTCAATTCTTGAATTCTGTGCACCTGCAGCCCAATATCACATGGAATCCACCAAGGTTTAGGGCTTGGCTTGCACCCTCTGAAGCAATGGTCTGAGCTGTACGTTGGCCCCTTTTAGCCACAGCTGAGATATGGGATACCAAGTCCCAAGACTGCACAAAGCAGGGGAGACCTGGAGCCAGCCCACTAAACCAG